CTACCTGACTATACTATTTTAATACAAAAACAAAAGTTTCTCTATGTAAATGAGGTCACTTTTTTATCTGTATCCTTTGGAGGATAGCCATCGGAGTTAATCACAAACATTTACAAACATAAATCTGTGTCGATCTGCAAAAGACACCCTGGCGAGCTGAGATAAAACAGCCTCCCCGATTGTCAGGCTGAACAAACTCTTAATATTTGCCCATACTCCAATTATTTCTTGTAGATGGGAGGGCAGGACAGCAGCCACTCCAATCAGGATCCTGGGGTTAGGCAGGAAAAGGGAACACATGGGGCCACACTTCGAGCAGTTAGAGCCAATCATGTACAGGGGTTCCTATATCCTGTTCAGCATAATCTCAAACTCTACGGAGAAATGTTTAGACAGGAGGGGTTAGGCATTGTTGCTCATTTCAGAAAAGGGTTTTGCTGCCACAGCCTCGTTACGTCAAGCATCTTATAGTGTGTAACGTTACCCAATGTTAAATAAAATATTGTTATAAAACTTACATTACAGAGTCATGGCAAAGACTTTCTGAGTGTTGGTCAAACATGAGCACACATTTGCCTTCCCTCTTATAGAGCATCAGCTCTTCATCGTCATGGATTCCGCAATATGTATCCCAGAACTTTCCTCTGAGATTTAGCTCCATGTTGCCATGACTGCGTCACATCACATCTAGTCAGTATCCTTTAGCTTATGATTAGCAACTTCACAGGTCAAATATTTAACTAAATTGAGCTCTGAGAAAAGTGAACAGGGCAGCACAACTCAATAAACTGACAGAAGCAAACATATTTTACTCATTTTCACTGAACAGAAATTTTTTCTGACCACACCTTAAGTCAAGTCACCTGTTAAATCAACTAACCCTCACTGTTGCTTCTGAAACAGTTTAGAAAGAAATGGAAACTCAATTAACTATTTTCTTTTAATTGCCACTTGTGGCAACTTTTATATTGATAACCATAATAACATACGCAGCAAATGTTGAAACTTAATCCATCTCATAATTTTCCTAAATATCTACTAAATTTTAAACCTCGTCTCCTCTCTCTCACTGTGTCTCTCTTTCAGAGCAATTCTGCCTCCCTCGGCGTATCTTCTGTCCTGTAAAAGCGACTGGGCTGGTGTGTGTTTGTGACTACCAGTTCAGTGACGAGGGCCTGTGTGAGATGACTGACCGGCTGAAGGAGATGCTGGACATTGATGCAGCTGAGGAAGACTTAGACACCAGGCAGGAGATGACTGCCGAACTCAGCGAGAGCAATATTAAAGCAGGTCAGGAAAGTTGTTTACCATGGGCTTTATGTGCTGTTCCGTGTTGGGGACACAAGGGGGCAGTAGGCTGTCGTCCCTGTTCTCTTATCTTTCCTTCTTTCTTCTCTCTTTCCTGTGTTTTATTATCTTTCATTAGTGCCTGTATCTGTGTTGTTTTCACCTGCATGTATCCGCTCCATTGCCTGAATCACCCCAATACCTCTTTCTATAGCATGCTTGCCCTCCCGCTTGCCACTTGTGTCTTTTGCTTTGGAATGTTTTATGTTAGCTTCCACCTCATCACAGCAGGCTTCTTCAAAGATGCCGTTTCTTGGCCATCATAATTTTCCTGATGTCCGTTCATGCCATTTCTTCTTGCAGTTTTGGATCTGTTTTCTGTGATCTGGGTGATGTTTGATTTACAACTCCATTGGTGTTGACATTCCTCCTCCCTTAGTTACTCTTGCTCCCATGTATCCTTGTCCCGCACTGATAGCTAGTGATCCCTTTTTTCCGACTTCTCGTCTAAATCTTTAGTTTCATTTTTTTTAACCTGTGATGCCTGATGATTATTTTGATGATTATTTTTTATCATTTATTACTATAATTATAATTATTATTATTATTGTTTTTCTTGTGTTTTCAAACCTGTGGAGTTTTAATGATGCATGCAGATGCTGTTTCCCGGTGAACCCTTCATGGGACAATGATGAGACACAGTCGCAGATGTATTGTTATTTGATTTTGTTCAGTAATGCCGAACCCTTCTTGTAGTTCAAGTGCTACATTTAGAGAGATTTTTGATACTGCTTCAGGATTGTTGCACAAATGTCCCAGCAATGGAGTCAATATTAAAAAAATGTCCTTGTAAATCCTTGTAATTAACCCAATGTATGTTACTGTTAACATTGTTGACTTGTCTTTCTGTTATTTTATTGTGAAATATTTGCTCATTTTAGGGTCAGACAATCTGATTTCCGTTTTTGTCAGTAAAGTTCCGGTAGAGACGCAGACTTCGTGTTAAGAACGATCTGTCCACAACGAAACGAAACGATTAAAAGCAGCTCAACTGAGGAACAAGAGGGAAAGATAGGTGTTTTAGCGACCCTGCGAAGAGGCACAAGGTTTGTATCTGTTGTCAAAGAGTAATGCTAAGATGCAGTCTTGTGTATCAAGTCGATGACTCGTGCTACTAACTTGCTTTCGTTTCTCGTTGAACGCGATCGGTATTAGTTTAAGAGGTAAACCTAATTTAACTGTGAAGAAACACCGCTGACGTGTTGAGGATTCTCCGTGTGGGTCTTTATATCCAGCTCTTACGGTGTTGCTTTGGAGAACTCCAATAAACCTAAGAAAACTTCGAGTCTTGACCTACTTTCTGGAGATATGTCGCAATCAAGTGTCCACTTTTTAACAGCCCACGGGACGCGACCACGCCAGCGGACGTTAGCATTCCCTACGGTCCACGATGTCAGTAAACTCGAGTCGAAATAAATATCACATCTGCTCACCGAGCAGCTGTAGATCACAGAGGGAACTCGGTGTTTTCACTGTTTGTTTCTACCGTGCGTCAACAAAGTCACTGACCAGCTACTCTTATCTTTCTGTTTTCACTTTCTGTTCCTCCCATTCAGTGCTTCACTTTGTTCAGAGGCTTGTGTTGTTAACCAAACTTAACCCCCCAAATACAAAGCATGCAATCCTCCAACATGCAATACACACACTCAGTAGAAACTCATCCATTCTCTCCGCGCCTTGGTGTTCATCGTATCATGCACGAGGATCATGCATCAGATATGTTCTGCATTGAACCTGTACCCTGCCAGTGGTTTTTAGTGTTAGAAGGGTTTTGTGTTGAAATCAATTTGTTTCAGTAGTTTTAACTAGGTTCCATTAGAGAAAAGACTTTCTGATTTTCCTCACCTTGGCTGAATTCCGCATTCAGACACAATCAGGACATTGCAGAAAAATTAAAAAATCAACAAAACCCTTGGCCGAGATACACGTGATAACTGTGTAGCTGTTGTTTTTTCCCAGTCTGTCAGTCCAGGTAACAGAGTAGATGTGATCTACAGCCCGACAGACGGGTCATGATTCTCAGAATTGTTCAACTCAAAGTCCAAAAACAGTAAACCTGAAGCTCTCAAAATGGAACAATTCCACTACTGAACAGTTAGGTGTTTGTAAAGTTCAGGCAGATAATAAAACAAGTCGTATGTTCATAATTTAACATCACTCCTCTTCTGTAGTGGTAGTGCACTACTAAACAGTCTTTTTATACCGTTACCTTTTCAATATAGATTAAATGATTTTACTGACCAAAAGCATGTAAAGGTCGGTTCATTATTTAAGTCAGTTTTTCATCGATATGATTTATTGAGATATTGCTTTACTGTAGTTAATGCAATTGTGCTTAATGTGTTTCCAGAGGCCACTGAGAAAACTGCTAAAGCCCAAGAAGTGCCTGAGCCCAAGAGAAACAACTTCACAGGTAAAACACTTTGTACTGAGGAAATTCACCTGTTTCCTGCTGCATCTGTCTTCACCACCCTGACTAGTATGAAAAGAAAAGTTTTATAACATCACAGTAAAAGCAAAGAAAAACAAATGTCTGCCACCGTCAAATACTGGTCACTTATAGTTCTGCTATTTGTTGTCACTGTAACTGTGAAGTCAAGTGTGGAAAAAATGGTTCAGGCTATACAAATGAAAAACCATAATGAATGTTAGAATTACAGTGGGTTCTCATTAGCATACACTAGTCTGATGTAATTATTAGGGATCGATCTGTCAAAATGTTTTATAATTAAATCCACATTAATAAAAACAGTTACACTTTTTAGAAATTTGTTACAGACAGGGGCAGGTTCAGAATCTTAAGTTAACACTCACACCCTCACTCTTGGAAATGTTTACAACCTTTACTATTCTAATTTGAGGTCATTTGCTAATATATCACCATGAATTGCCGCTGCACCAGAGCATCATCACACTGATGTGTTCAAGCTGTTATTCTGATTATGTGGGAGACATGGAATTACCTTTAAATCTGTGCATCACTGTTTCCTTTCCAACTTAATGTTTATGTGCTATTCTTGAAATGCATTATCATGCAGGTGATTGTTTATCATGCAAAGATATGAAGTTACCAGTTTAAACATGAAATACAATGAAAAATAAAAGTAATCATCCACCTCTGGGTGGATTCCTCATGTCGAGCTGTGTCCGTCGTGGATAAGTGTGATGGTCACAGTTGTTTCAGAGTAAGTAATCCAGTGATATGATAGTCTGAGAGTGCATTTTTTTAAACACCACTCCCTCTGGTCCATGTTCATCTTCATCCAGCTGTTGTGTACTTTGTGTGGCTGCACATACATAAACCAAAATAGTTGGAGCACTTCAAGATGCACACAGACCGGGCACCCAAGACCTTCCGTCCTCCTTTTATTTAGTCTTTTCTCTCACCTTTTTGAATCTTTCACATCTATGTAGTTGTTTTACACCTTTTCACAGTTCTTCTGTTTCTCTTTTTAACCATTTGATTTTTCACAAGGCATGTGAGGACGAGTTAAGCACAAGTTTGTACACTCACTGTCATGAAACTTCTCTTCTGTGTTGTCCAGGTGTTGCCATAGCTACTGCCGCCGCTGTACTTGCCGCTGCTGCCTCAATGCTCTATCTCAATGATGTTTGACATGTATAAAAAGCCACCAAAATAAAGTGTATTTGTTCCTAACAAGCGTTTGCTGGTTCTATTGGAAAAGAAGCAAGAAATGGTAGTAATAACAACAGTTCCCTCTGTAGGTATAGCGACAAATGCTGCTTGTAGATGTACATGGACATTTCGATGTAGTGTTAAACATGGAGTGTTAAACATGGAGTGTCAAATTGTAATCAGTACCCTGGGTGTTGAATAGATTTTATTAAAGATTGCTGTAGTAACAGGCAGCTGTACGTGTGACATCACTGTTGAGTGTGGTTAAAGGTGCAAGAGAGCCCTAAAAATGTCAGAATGGTTTGACATGGGCAGCCAGAGAGGGCACGAAGTCACTTCTTTAAGTTTGCTGTCAAGTTACACTTGAAGCCTTAAAAACTGCAGCATCTGTTCCAGAGGCTTGATTATTATATACAAATTTCACATGAGCACATTAACCTAAATCCTAGACTGACTTAGATAAATGCAGAAGATGGGCTGAAGAACCTTAATCCCCAGCTGTAGCAAAAATTGAACTGAAGGTTGGACAAGAGGAAGTGAGAGAGAGCCATAAAAGACAAGTGCAGATAGAGAGGTTAGACATAGATCAGATATGATGTATGATCGGATATGAGAGCACTAGAGTCACAGCCTCAATAAAATGTTGATTGTTTTTTTCTGTTGCCATTTACCTGCAGTTGTAAATTTACATCTGGGGACCCCCCCCCCCTGTGGGTATAACAGTTGTAACCAATTAACAAATCAGCCTCTGTCCAGGCCTTCTGGTGCTTTCTCTAATAATTGTTCAGTGCTTCTTCTACGTGCCAACAAGGCAAGAAACTCACACATTAACCAGGGGGTGCGGATGGTTCTTCCCCTCTCTCTTATTTGCGAACTGCATGCCACGGGTTAACAACATGTCTGTTAACAGTCTTGTCCTAATTTAACTTTTGTCTGGTTTGTCCTTGGAAAGACAGGAATGAGTTAAACAGGGAATTATGTATATGTAAGAAAAACATAGGCATGCAGGGCTCCACTCCCCTCACAGGAGGTGGACTTTGGACCCGGCAGTTTTTACTGGTTTGATTTATCCAATGCTCAGCTGCAAAACATGCCCCATGCCCAGCTCTGCTGAACTTTAACCCCCTCGGAGAGTGATAACAGCTCTGTTTGCTGGTCAACCTTATCCACAGGTCTCTCAGTGAAAAGACAATTTGGTTTGGTGGCTTTAAGTGGTCACCCTATCATCGAACGTCTCTGTTTGTAAGAGAAACGGGCTGGATAAGAGCTCGTGCATAGTTCCAATTGGGAGCAGAGCAGTCCCGGACAGTGCTTCGGACCTCTAATCCTGAGACCATCAAGAATCTCCTGAAGATCACTTGAGAGCTTCCCTCTCAAGTTGGACAGAAGCATCATGTTGAGTAAAGACCTTCCAGACATTGAGGTAAAGGATTGAATGAATGTTTTATCTTTTTCCTCAGCAGGAGTCTCCATTTGTCTATGTCTTCACAAATATACCATGTATCTACATGTCACGATTTCAGAACAGATTTACAATAAGAACACAGATTTATGCTTTAAATTATTTAATGATTGTGTTTGGTGACAGAGTAACTGTTGTATTACTTTACCGCCAGGTAAAGAAGAAGTTTAGTGCACCTGCTGAAATACCAAACCATTACAGAGTACTATAAATCAGTTGATAAGAAAATTCAAATCACCTTTGCTAGTCCTCAAAGCATTTTTTTAAAGTAAAAAGAGGATTTTTACTTTTGAGTTTAGGGATTAGCCTCCACCTCTATGGACAGAACACTAATCCAAGAAGGTCTTCTGCACAATTTAAGTTACCAACTACCAGGAGATGTAAGCAGCAAATGTTAGGGACATAACCTTAGTTGTCATCAAGTGTTTTTACCTTGAGAGCTTGAGGGTACGCTGAGGCTAAAGGTAAATCTGACTGGCTTGTATGGCAGTACAATGAAAGCCATGTGGCCCGCTCAGTAGATCAGACATCATTACCTTTATGCCTTTTTAAACTGAAAACTGTCCCTCCTAGAACATAGGACAAGATCGGGAGAATATCCCTTGGATGTTCCACCTTGTTAATTAAGTCCTACCACCATTCCATGTAAGCATATGTTAGTGACCACGGACGTTAGGGACAAATCTTCAGTTGTGTACCTTAGCGTCATCAGGCGTTAACATGCACACAGGTCTGAGTGCCACTTTAACGTGTTACAGCAATGAGACGATTAAAATGATAAACGTCATGTTAAGCGGTTTATGAACCTGTGACTTATGGTCTTTTGTAACAAGCCACGTGTTTTTTGCCATGTGTAAGAAGCTGTAGATCAGTAACGTACGGTCTGAGTGAAGGTATGCAAGTGTAGAGATGTGGAAATAGTTTCAACACATGTTATGAAAGTCTGCATTCATACATGTATGTTTAGAAAACAAGATTTTGTATGTGTAGAGGAAATTATAAGAACCCGACAAAATATGATGCTATACCTCTTAATTCTGTGATGTGAAACCATCAAGAAACCTGTTACTAAACCGGTAGACTGGATTTGGATATTGATTTCTTGATAAGACATTAGGGAGTACCTGCTGTGACAGGTTGTAAGTACAGGACTCATGGTTAATAGTTTCTTCATTTCTTCTGTTACATATACATCCGACATGGTCACATAACGTCAGTGCATTGACCCTCCTCATTATCTTATCATTTTGACCCCAACCATCCAAACAAGCAAGCTCTCTAAAATGTTCCATGGTATCTGTGTTTTTGCCTGGAGATCTCCATATGTAAAGACAGATAACAGCAGTGGCTCATTAGTAACAGGTTAAGATCAATGTTTCAATGCAAAGTTTCCAATAACAAGCCACAGCTCTAAAAGATACAATTTATTTAACTAGATCCATGGAAATGCACAGATCTTGACAAAAAGTTAGCGGTGGTCCTTGGTGTAGTTGTTGATTGGCGCCTAAAGTTATGTGTTAATCTATTTTACATAATTTCTTACAGAGCATCCTGGCTCTGAATCCCAGGGTGAAGACTCACGCTCAGATCATTTCTACAGCAAACAAGAAGAAAGAAAAGAAACACTGGAAAAGAAACCCTGAAAGAAACTGTGACGTAAGATATAGCACACACATGCTTAGACACGATATAGTAAATAGCATTTTCTCTCTTTTTTACCCAGTTCTTCATTGTTGTTTGTCCTCCTCTCTTCTTTCTCTCAGTCTTGTGTAAAGTTGGAGAACAACTTTGATGATATCAAACACACAACACTGAGCGAGCGCGGAGCTCTACGAGAGGCATCAAGGTGAGCATGAATTATACTATTATTTGTAACATAATTATACAATGTCAACTGAATTGGTATTGGACATGTAGTGAAACATTGTGTTGACGATGGCTTCGGAGGGAGGGGCTGTCACAAAGTTGGGTTCAACATCGGGGTGACTGTCAGCCATCACTGATGGACAATTGCGTTGTCAACTCAACCTTATTACCTTCTACAGGCAAAGAAAGTACGATTGGGTTTTTTAGCCATGCAGCAGCCTTCCATACCTCAACAACTCGGCTGATAGATAAAATGCCATTACATTTTACACTGATTCATTTGTAGTGGTTCCAGAGAATGATGATTCCACATCATATGTCTTTTTCTGTTGGTTCTGTTGTATCATCATAAAATAAATGTCAAACTATCAGACTTTCTCTCCTGACACCTCTTACACTCAAACATATCTAACCAGCACATAATGGGACTTCTTCACATGAGCTCCTATACTTTGTTTTATTGAACAGGTTTAGAATGTATTACTTAGTTTAAGGTCTCCTACTGTACTGACGCTTTCATGTTGTCACTTTTGAAAGTTGCTTTGGATGTGCATTTGCATTTATAGTTGTTGCTTCCTTTTCTGAATTGAAACAACATTTTTTAATCCCAGCAACTTTGTTAAGCTGTCCAATAAAGTAAAATATGTGTTTAGGTGTCTAAAATGCGTCGATGCTCCCTGTCAGAAGAGTTGCCCGACTAATCTGGACATCAAGTCATTTATTACAAGCATCTCTAATAAGGTAGTAAAATACACTCATACACGGTTGCCTACATGAATGATGCTTGCAAAAATGTATCCAATAATGAAAGAATAATAATGAACATGTTAATCGTGTGTGTACCAGAACTATTATGGCGCAGCTCGGGTCATCCTATCCGACAACCCCCTGGGTTTGACCTGTGGAATGGTTTGTCCCACATCAGATCTCTGCGTAGGAGGCTGTAACCTGTATGCCTCTGAGGAAGGCCCTATTAACATCGGGGGGTTACAGCAGTTTGCCATTGAGGTACAAAATATGTGATTAACAGTTTCTGGGATTTTACAACTAAATTACACAGTATGTGTATCTGGTTATGTTTTTAACACCCAAAAACGTCTGTCTCATCTACACATCGGACTTGTCTCTCTCGTTAATTATTTGCCCTTGGCTCACAGTTTAAGAATTATGTAGAAGACATACAAACAATACTATACAATTTTCTAACTTTAAATAGCAGCTTTTTTTCTTGCCAGTGCTGAGTACAGTGGCCACTGTTCACTCCACATTACAGTGTTTTAAGTCAGCCATGACATGAATGCAGTGTATTAAAGAGATTGACAAGGGAATTACTTGTATACGTTAAATGTATGTGTGTAATTTTTTCCCAGGTGTTCAGTAAGATGGGCATCCCTCAGATCAGGAATCCTGATCTCCCACCACCTGATCAGATGCCAAAGTCTTACTACAGCCCCATTGCTCTGATTGGCTGTGGCCCAGCATCAATCAGCTGTGCTACCTTCCTGGCCCGTCTGGGATATAATAATATTACTATATTTGAGAGACAGAAATACATTGGAGGGCTGAGGTAACGTATAATTATCTGTCTATGGTGTATCTAAACAGATTATAGTTAACACGAAATTATACAAAGCAGGAGTTACAATACAGT